CTGCCAAACGCCGAAACACGCCCCCCCCCGCACGTGCTGTGCCCGACACCGGTGTCGGACGAGCGAGAATCTGTGGCGTGGATCGTCACCAAAGATGACCCCGTGGCATGTGGAAATTGCATGCAAATCCATGTGGCCGTCTGTGTTCTGCGTCTGGCTAAAAAATGCGACTGGCAGGGAGATGGACAGACAGACATACGTACGCTCGGAAATTAGTGAACTGGACAAGCAGTTCCGACTTGTCTCGCTGCGCTAAGAGGCGACGCCGCTGGCGCCGATAGCGGAGACAGCCGTGACGTCACGCTAACTTGTGCCTCACCAACATGAAGTGAATCTCAGCAGGGGTGAAGTTTCCGATTCAGCTGGGGATGAGGACTCAGGTCTCCAAAACCGGATCAAGTCTGGGGTAACCCGTTTTTTAGGTATGTTGGAGGCCAGTTTACCACATGCTTCCCTTCTCAGCCTCCCTCCCCATGTTAAGTTTGTAAAACTACATCCCTAGATCTCACTTCAACTTTGTAACCTGTTGTAACACTCATGGATCACACGCGGACGCACAGACAGGCGGACAAACAGGCAGTCATACTCTCTAAAGTCAATGAGTTGGATGCATCGAATGCCATATGTTATGTTTATTAGTTTTGTGAGCTCTAATATAGTGTAGGCCCTGCTTAGTAGATAATCTCAAGCTTCCCCGACAGTTCCACGAAACTTTTGCTCAATACAGGATGTTTTCGAGATAGTGAGAGATTCAGGGGTTGCGTGCAAACAAGCAAACAAGCAAAACAAAGACACAAACCGGACGGACTTGCATCTGTCTTTCCCACGGTTTTTCCAACTGCATGGGCATCTCTAATGCTTTGCCCCATGGTGCTCTAATTCTGTATCCCTAATCCCGCTATCAGTCCATACATTGGTCACGCCTGCAGGACTGCACTCGTTCGCTCGCCTCGTTCGCTCACCCACTTCGTCTGAACTACGCATGCGCAGCAGTGCGGCCTGACAATCATTTTTCATAACTTCACGTGTGCAAAAATCAACCACAGGCGCATCCGAAGCGTCGGCAGAGGCCATACTGGATCGGCCGCTCTGGACGGAATCACGCGCTCGTGACTCAGCGATGACCGGGGTGGATGGCCGGAGGGCTCAGTTTTTCCCCGTTTGTTTCAGAACCCACGTGGGCTGCCAGCAGATGATGTATGCGGACAAATCAGTGCACCTCGAATGGCGTGGTAGATCGTTCCAATTGGACCAAACACTAATTATCATAAGCTACCGAATTGGCGGCAGGGCGAAAAACAGCCAGCCATTCGCCTGGCTCTGTTTGGCTCTAGTGACCTGTTTTCGAGGCTGCAGTCGAGCTTCCAGCAGCACCCTGACAAACACACCCTCCTCCAGGCAGCTTCCTGCAATATACATCACGACATCTCAACAACAGACCCATCTCGTCCCACTGGGGGCCGGCGTCTGCGGGCCCGCCTTCCGCTCGGAGATGCCGGCTGTCTCTGTGCCGGCGGCGCCCCCGCGTCCTTCGGCAGACACCCCGCCGTCGGTGGAGCGGCGGCGCACCTTTGTTCCCGATCCGCAGGTATCCTTCAACATTTCATAACAGTTCATAAGTTAGCGGCGGTGCGCGGCTGCCGCCGTTCAAAACATGTTTTCGCCGCGCCGGCCCTCCTCTGCTTGCCGCCGTGTAGCCGCCTGCAAGAAACAAGCGAACCAGCTTCAACAAGGTCCACGCTCCCCTCGCCAGCCGCCAGAAAGTGATCCCTATCACACCGGCGGCCAGATGTTCCAGATAAGGCTATTTCGGTCGGGTTTTTTGTTGCCTTGCGCCGGCAGTTCGCACGCGCCCCAGCCGGCACTTACAACACCTGCGTTGCAGCCAGATTGATGGCGGCCACCGCCGGCCCCCCTCCGGACGACCGGCTTACGCGCAGTGAGCACGTGCGCCACGTCCTGTCGGGCGGCGGAGGTCAGATTCGGCACGTGCGCCACGTGCTGGTGACGGTCAGACGTGGCGCGCCGCGCGGAGGTCACGCACTTAGCGTCACCTGAGGGTGGCCAAAGAGAGGGAGCTGACTGAGCTGGGTCTGCTCTGCTCGGCTGGCTGGATGGCCTCCGGACTGGACCAGGACGAGTTCGAGAGGGGAGGGGGGGGGGAAGGGGGGCTGGCGTCCCTGCCAAGCAGCAACCGACACCAGCAAGGGTCAGAGAGCTCGACAATCCAGGGCATCGCCAAGCACCGCGGCCTTGACCCAATTCCACCCGCGCCATGTTCTAGGGCGAGCTGTTTTCAATCAAATCAAACGGTCAGCTTATCTCCAGGCGTCCGATCTGTGCACTGCGCAAGAGGAGGATTGCACGAAGGACAACCTCGTGCACCAGTTGCAAAGAGTTATATCGGCAAGGCCAAGGGCCTGCGAGCTGGCGAATGCCACGGACCGGTAAGGGCTCCATAAACCAAAAACATCGACGATTTTGCTTCGAAGGGCGATCTTGCCGACCGTAGCGGTAATCACTCTGCTGCACTGCCATAAACACATTTCACGTGATTGGCCTCTTTATAGCACAAGATGCATGCATTCTAAATGCGCGACCAAATGACACCCAAAATTCTGCACAGCACTTAATAATCAGACGCCGCATTCATCAACGAAAGTGTTCTCGAGAGGGTGATGGCCAAAAAAGCGTCCTGTCCCAGTTTCAGATAAAAACAAGCGTAAAGGACACTAAAAGACCGGGTGTCGGTTGAAATGAAGGGGGCTGGGTGGGTGGGCTTTAATCTGACAGCACAAGCCTACGAAACTTACTCGGCCATTAATGTCTTTGGAAGCGGCAATGAAGTCAGCAGGATGACGAATGTCCTTGTTCTGTCGCACTTTAGCAACTCTACTCGAACTTAGCAACGAACTACTCAGATAGCAATGCCGTAGGATACTACGGTCATCATTAGCCTTAAATGTGAAACTGGACGCTGAACGACAGACCAATAATTTACCGAGCATTTTGATCACTGAGGCCTTCCATATTTGCTCCGGCAAAAGCGTCAGCTCCGGTGATTTCATCATTGTGCCAACGCGCACACATAGTTGCTATCACGGCCCGACGATGTCCCATCCGATTTTCTGGAGCAAAAAAACAACGACAACAAACAAACACAGGCAGATGCTGCACAGCACGCCTTCCTCAGCGGATGAAAAAGTATTTCATGTTACCGCTTACGACTGGTCTGTTGGGTCTTGTAAGACTAGGGCAAAGCAAAGATTCGTTTGCCACAGATTCTTAACTTTCGGTTCACCATTCATTTTAAGTGCCCCCAGTGTAACTGAAATTTTTGTTGGAGCATGCCACATTCTAGGTGCAGTGGCACGGTACACCCTGTGCCCGTCCGACCAATGGGATCAGTAGTCAATGGGCTAACACTGGCAAGTCAAATAACCGCTTTTCACGGGACGCGAAACCGCATGTCTGTCACGTAATGTTCACTGGCTCCCGGCCAGATGCCCGTTATTTTACCAACAGAGTTCAGGGGCGAAAATTTAGGCGACTTTTACGCAGCACATCAACACGTTGACCTTG